ATAGTAGATATTGCCTAGGAATGGGGATACCCTATAGTAACCGTAATGTTTTAGATAAAATATGTTGCTTGGGATTGTTCCTATACCGCCAAGGAATTGGGGCATAGGAAGAATACCAAAGGGTTTTCTACTAAGGAATTAGAGTCAACTAATCTTTAAAACCGGTAACGATTGAATTGAGCAGTGATTTCTGAAAAATAAGGATTAAGGTTATTACAAGGTTTTTTCATACACCATACTCTAGCATGCTTCTCATAACTGTCTAAACCTTTATTTTACTGCTTTTGCCTTTTGGCCTTTAAAATTGTAAGAAACAAACCAAAACCCCTATAACTTTTTGTTCAATTGTATTATTTTAGAACTTGTGTTCATACGCAGTCCGCAAGATCGATATTCGGGGAATTTCCCCTTATTACTACATCGGTACAATTAGTACACTTGCTAATTTACCGGTCAATGAAATATGATGATAACCTTTAACGGATGAAGTAATCGACATTGTGACAACAGTTTGCATTTAATGGAAATCAACAGATAAAAATGGTAACAACCAAGAAATAAATCCTAGCATGTTAACTAACATATATAGGCATGGATTCAAACAAGTTTCAAGAAAAATATTGAAAGGAAACAATTAAAAATTTATCTGCAATTACATAAACGATCGCGAAAACGCGCACACTTGTACATAAACAAACTGGGTGATAAAAAATTCAAACATGAAAAATAAAGGCATGGCATGAAAGTACACATTAATACGAGCACAAGGAAAAAAGAACGGACGAAAAATGATGAAAAACGAGTGAGATACGAATGTTTGAAATTTACATGAAAAATCACAAAAATGGATAAAAGAGTTGCCCTCCTCAGGGGTCGAACTCAGGTACTTGGCATGAAAGGTGCATGGTCTTACCACTAGGGTGGCTATACATCCATTGATGAAGCCACCCCTAATTAATTATAAGGGTAAGTTTCATGACTGGTTGGGCAAGAATGCATAAACCGAGCATTTACGTTTTGTATCGTATCTCCCTAACCGTTTATCGGAATGGAACAAAATTTATATGGATTTGGGGTAGAATCAAACAAGGAATCTAATGGTGGTCTCAGTTTTTGAAAATTCTCAAACCTCTGCAAAACCCGATAGCTGCTGTTCTTAATGCGTAATGAGATGCATTTTCATGTAGATGCTATGATACACTTGACCTCAAACCAAAACAGTTATGCACACATCACAGGTAAGTAAAAATGAGTGAATCCAAATTAACTTTATGGTTAAAATTGAACTGTTATGAAAAGTCATGTGTAATTTGCAAAAAAGTGACATAAGTGATATGCATGATTTGAGGTATCTCAGTTTCAAAGCAAAAATGGATCATGACAAACTTCCATACACCTTTATTACATGTTAATGAGTGAGTTTAATTGAAAAACAAAGGTCTGTACTGACTGTGTAGTGTTTTGGTATTCATCATGCTTATTGTGTGCTCATGTGCATTATGTGGTGTGTGTTTGTGTTCAAATGGTTTTAAAGTCTTTTGATCATACACACACATTACAAATGACCAATGTAAGCTGTTAGAGCAAGCAAATTAATTCAAAACAATATAATGCAAAAAATGGTGTGTGTGCTATGTCACTTTGTGATGAAAATGAGCATTTGAAGAGTGAGATTTAGGTGCAGCCAGTTTAGATGCAAAATGATGATGTCCACATCTTAAAAATGTTTAATGTGAAGTGTGTGCAATGTGGTTTGAGTGAAAAAATGAGTTATGCAAAAAGTGGCTTAGTGTGTGGATGTGTATGTGACAATCATGCATTTGCAAAGTGATTTTTCATGACAGGGTGATTTTCAATGAAATGATTATGCAAACATGTTACAAATGATCAATATAAAGTGTACCACCCATCATTTGTGTACAAAAACAATTAACATGGCAGTTAGCATGACAGTTGCAAAATTGAGCAAAAAGTGACATTTTTAAAAAAAAAAGTCAAAAATAACACATAACTTCCACCATTGGAAGTTAAGTACAAAATGTGACATTTTCAAGATGAGTTTTGACATTTTGGTTTCATGGCTTTCTAATTCAGATTGATATGTCCTACACCTCTAATATATCATATGAAATGAGTCTAGACCCTTGAACATCATTAAAATTGACGGCATGAGAAAATGGCAAGTGATTTGCAAAAATGTATGTGAAACTTGCATTTTGAAAGTGAAAACTTAGAATACTTGCTCTAACACTTAAGTGAATGTTTGAACATATTTAAAATGATATATTTGAGGTGTCTAGACAAGTGGTTTAATTAGAAATGCATTGGAACAAAATCTATCATGTGATGTGCAAGGAAGTGCTTGAAAACATACACTTGAAATTCAAAATCTACATTAATTGTTATAACACTTAAACCAGGTTTTAGGCATATTTAAAATGATGTATATGAGATGTTTTAACAACTAAATGAGATTAAAGTGTATCAAAAACCAGAACTGGTGTTATGCTTGAAAATATGTGAAGAATGCAAGTGCAATGGTCATGTTGAATCCAAGAGTGAGTAATATTTTAGCAAGGCAATCATACATACATCACAAATATACATGTTTGAGGATGTTCATGCAAGCAACAAGGCTTAAATGGGACTGAACAGAAATCTGGTTTTGAGAGCAAGCATATTAGTGCTTTAACCAAGCAGGGACAAAACTCAAAACCCCCCAGGGCAAAAACTGGCTAGTCCAGGCACACATACACACCTAACACATGATAGTAAGCAGTTTTAAATGAATAAACTGATAGACAAACCTGTTCTTAACCTCATGGCCATGTGACTTCCCACACTTGTGTTCAAAATGCAACAGCAATGTGTTTCCATCATAAGCAGCAAATTCAAGGCATACAAACACAAGAACAACATAGATATGCAGTATAAAACATGTCTAGGCACACATAATGTCCATGTGTAGCAGCAACAGCAGGATGTCATAAAACAACATGATATTCAAAGTTCAAAATTATACATGATGCTCAAATATGCCAAGTCATGAAAACTAATGTAAAAGCCAATAAAAACCAGTCACATACCTCTTGATGAACCTTTTGAACAAGTTAAAAACAGTTGAGAAAACCATAGATGTTTTCCCTCACTTTTTGCTTTTGAACCTTTCTTCACCTTTAAGCAACAATGCACTTTCAATGCCAAAAGACAAGGTGTGAGTTTTTAATGGTTGGTGAGTGTTTGAATAGTTGAGATATGGTACTTATGAGGTGTGTGGATGTTCAAAACCTCAAGGAAAGGTTTAGAGCAAAGTTTGGAGATTTTTGTAGCTTTGGTCAAAGTATGAAAGGTAGAAGTTTGACTTTTTGATTTTTGAGGTTTCTTGGTGGTTTAATGGATTACACACCTTCTATATATTATTTAGAAGTTATGTGGAGGGTGGTTGAGGTGTTGGAAAGGATAGAAATGAATTTGGGCATATTTCACTTCAAGGCCATTTTGAGTGTTTTTGTGAACTTTGTGATTTTTGAGAAATTGAAGCAAGATGAGAGAGTTGTGATGACAGAGGTTATTTGTGGTTTCTATCAGATGAATTGTGTGTGGAATGAGGTGAATGAGACCTCCTTTTATAGGAAAAGAGATTGAGGTGCTTGCTAGAGACCTTTCTTCACCATGAAGCAAGCTTTGATATTTTTTGATCCACCATCCCACTTGTTGGATTCCTTGGCCATTCTTTCTCCCAAAGGGCAAGTTAATTGATGGTTTTCTGATGCAAATGCAGGCTAGAAGCTTTGTAGAGTGGCTAGTTCAGAAATGGCCTTTACACCTCATGCTTAGAAAAGTCAATTTTGGCAACTTTCACTTTATGGCAATGAAACTTCAATCTTTAATTTTGTGATACTTCTATGCATAACTTCTGATCTAACATGCTACACATACTCCATATATCAGATAGAATGAGTTTGACAAGCTGAGATTGGCTCAATTGGATGGAAGAGATGATTTTTCAATTTTGATCAATGTGGGACTAAGGTGTGAAATCACCAACTTTGCACCCATGTAACTTTCTGCTCATAACTCCTCTTGAGATGTTCTAGTACAATTTAGAAAGCCCTCACATAGCTCTAAAACATTCATGTTTGCCAAGAAATCAAACTCCAATTGGAACTAGGTGAAAAATCCTCTCAAAGTTGGCTGCACACAAGCTTTCAAAGTAAAAATAACTTAGAAATTTTCTAAGTTATTTTCCCTTCTATGAATGTTTTTGCTTCTATCTCAAAAAGTATGCATTTTCTGGCTGTGGACTAGTATGGTAATTTTGTAGAACTTTTCAAGAGCTTTCCAATGAGCTTGGAACCAACTCAATTGAGTGTGTGGTTAAGGAGTTAGGGTTTAGCCCCTTTTGAAACCCTAATTTCCCGATTTTTCGATTATCCCTCCATTTTTTATCAAATGACCAAGAAATTTTATGAGTGAGCTTACATTGACATATGGAACAACTTTGCTTCACATCTTGAAGTCCCAATCCTTAAATTTGAAAAGCCGATTTTTGGTCGTCGGCGCGATCGATTTGTGGCTACCGAGTCGTCTGTGGATGTTCTGGACTTCCTGAGTCTTTGAAACTTCTTGAGTAGGTTCCATTAGGCCATATGAACTTTAGGGATTACAATTCCCTCTTGAAAACACCTTCTATCACAAAAGTCAAACCACAGTTGACTTTTCATCAGTCAAAAACCCTAATCGGGTGTCCATACTGCACTGTTCTCGATTTTGGCGCAACAACTTCAAATTGATTTATCTTTTGACCTCATGTTGCATATTTGAACTTCCTCATGTTTTAAATTCATTCGAACCCTTGATTGACCACACACACCTTTCTTCGATTTCGACCGCGCGAAACCCTAATTCGTCTGTAACTCAACAAAGAAAACTTGGACTGGGTTAAGGTTAAATAAACATATGATGCATGTTTCTAGAATGATAATGAGGATCTAAGGTGG